ACACACACACACAGACATAAATGCGATGTGCTTTGTTGCAGCTGGAAAGGATGTGGCTCTTGTACAGCCTCAATCTTGTTTTTTTTTATTTCTTTCCCCTCTCAGTTACAATGGCGGTATCTGTGTGGACGGAGTCAACTGGTTTCGGTGTGAGTGCGCTCCTGGTTTTGCTGGACCAGACTGCAGAATCAGTGAGTAATGACTGTCGTACCTAATCATATAACACATGCTTGACACACAAAACCCAACCCCCAACTAAAACAATTCAAATCAAGATCCTGTTTCTTCAAGACCCTCACATAGATATAGCAATGCAGTATGGGTAAGAGGATGGATAGAAGGAGTTAGGAAAGAACGAAAGGAAAAGGGGGGACATGGAGGAGATGGACACATTGACACCTAAATGTAAGACCGGGACGACACCCTCTCCCCTTTTCTCGGTCCTTTTAACACCTCAGGGGTCAGAGGTCGTCCCTCCTCCATACTCACATAGTCACACAAACACACACAGAAGACAAATTACCCAGTGACCCCAAAATTCTTCTTCTCTGCTCTTTTGTTTCGGCCGGATAGCGTTCACCTTTTCTGTCGGGCTTGAATTTGAGAATTCTCATCCAGACTGTGTTCATGTGGAATCTGGATGACAATGGCCGGGGTTCCCAGTGATTTGGGTGGGAAGGCACAATTGCTGTGTGTCGTTCAAATACCTGCTCATTTACTCCTTTTGGAAATTAGACCAGAATTGGTAACACAAGGAAAAAACCTAAAAAATGTCTGTCTTTTCTTAAATCTGAATTTGGGACCTTTAAAAAAATTATCAAATAAAAATATCTGAGAGGGGAATATCAATTGCTTGTAGCTTACTCTATGCAACCAGTGATATGGGATCACAAGAAGGCAATAAGGCCCTGTCATATCTATATGACAAAGTCAGTTCATTCCAATGAGTTGCTGTGATTAGTGGATTTGGCATCCAGGGCCAATGTCCAACCTAATTTTGATGCTCTTCCTCCCTTCAGACATAAACGAGTGCCAGTCTTCACCGTGTGCCTACGGTGCCACCTGCGTGGATGAGATCAACGGTTTCCGCTGCATCTGTCCACTTGGTAGAACAGGCGCACGATGCCAAGAGTGTAAATACATCTCGATTCTCTGCCTTGCTCATTTAAGTCATACTCACTCATTAATTCACTCCATCTTGTAGTTTGTGTACACATCCTGCTACAGAAGTTTAACATGTCTTTCTTTGTCTGTATGTAGTCATAGGTATTGGGAAGACTTGCCACTATGCTGGGCTGCAGTTTCCCCACAGCAGCCGCTGGGAGGAAGAGTGTAACAGCTGCCGTTGTATCAATGGCAAAGTGGACTGTACAAAGGTAACATGGCCCTTTTTTTAAAACAGTGCCAGCAAATACCTGCCACTCCTCACTTACAATCAATCTAAGCTAAAAACAACAACCAGTAACAGTGCTGAGACAAAGGACTTCCAGCTAGAGTTCAAACCAAACTAAAACAGTTGCAATTAATAGTCTGAAAGGTTGCGTAGATTAGTTGTTGTTGCTGTGGTTACATACATGTTGTATGTTGTGCTTATTTTGTAGCATTTAATTACATGGAAAAACTATGCTAAAATGTCATAAATTACATGAGTATTTAACTATTTCAGTCACGTCAATTAACCGCTAAACATCACAATTATTCATATTAGCAACTGTTAAAATCATGCTGGGACAGTGTTTATTGAGACCAGAGCTGAAACTATAACTCAATTAATTGATTTGATAAAAAACTGACATTTTACAGACCAAAAGATTAATGACTTGATCGAGGAAATAGTCTAAAAGATTAATCAATAATGAAAATATTATTTGCACTCCTTAATAAAATAGGGATCATAGCTAACATTTGCTGGTTGTAATGATAAGGCAACACGCAAGGCAATGCGAACATAAACAATTAATGGCATTACATGTAGATTAATATTTCGACCCTGTGACATCAGGTGCTGTGTGGTCGTCGTCCCTGCCGCCTCCAGTCGTCAGGCCAGGACCAGAGACAGCAGTCCTGCCCGGTTCGACAAGAGTGCCTGAAGCACAGCTACCTCACATGCTTTTCTCCCCCTTGCCATGAGTGGGGGGTTTGTTCCATGGCTGGGCCCTCACCTCCACAAGCAACCACCAAGTGCCAGCCAAACAGCGGGTATTTGGACAACAGCTGTGGTCACTTAACACTTGTTTTCAACAGAGACAAAGTACCACCAGTGAGTCATCTCTTCACATAGAATTTTTCTTGTTGCAGTCGTGCAGTCTTGAGCCAAACAGTGTTATGTATTTTTTATGTGTTTTTGCTGATCAGTATGTGTGTGTGTACATATATTTAGGGAACAACAGTGGAGAACATCTGCTACGAGCTGAGGTATCTTCCTGACACCCGAAGCTTGGCAAAAGACCACGCCCTTCTCCTGCTCTGTGACCTCTCTCATTCAAATCAGGATGCTGTAGAGGTGGCTATAGTAAGTGCATGAACCAAATTTTGTTGTCACAATTGAGTATTCTATGTCCATTATACTCACGCTGTGTAACATGTTATAAAACCTTATTAAAACTACCTCATTTCAACTGAGAAGCACGGTATCTGGCACAGTTTAAGATGGTTGGGACCAAAATACCCAAATAACTAGTGCTTCTGCTGTACAGGACAGTTAACCATATACTTGCTCATACAGCCTGTTTCATTAAATCAGAATTAAGTCAGTTTTATTAAAGGGTCAAAGTAACACATTTTGTCATAAAAGGCTCTGCAGTTCTAAGTAAAGTTACTCTCTCTCTTGCCGAGAGTTAGTGGAGAAGCCTGATCTACCTCTCATCTGAACTAAGTACAGGGCTGGAGCCAGGAGGCCATTAGCTTAGCTTAGCATGAAGACTGAAAACGGTGAGAAACTGCTAATTTGTATCTTGTTTGTTTAATCTGCACACAAACAGTGTAGTTTAGTAGTATAGCAACAGCCACATAACTACCCGTAAAGCCACTTTGGACAGAGCCAGGCTAGCTGTTTCCCCTGTTTCCAGTCCTTATGCTAAACTTGGCTCATTGAATCCTAGCTCTAGCATACATAATGTACAGGCATGAGAGTGGGATTTATCTTTCAGCAGAAAAAGTAAATAAAGCTATTCCACATATAATCAAACACAAAACTTTAATCGACTTATTTTTTTTACTTCTAATGTTTGACTCCTTTTGTGTTTTGTTTTTTTTGGCACTAAAGTAACACATTAGGGTCAATAAGATGTAAATATTCCAGATGTTGTGACACAACTTAATGCTTGTTTCTAGCCGTTATGTCTAATTTTTTTCCCTGTTCTCTGGTTTGGTTCTCAGTCTTTCCAGCCAGAGGATCTACCAGACCACAGTCTGATCCAGGAGGCAGCCAGCGCCATAGTGGGCTCCTTATCCAAGCGCCACAACAGCACCATCATGCTAGCTGTCATTGAGGTCAAAGTGGAAACACAGGTTATGCCTCCGTCAGTGGGTGAGTAATAATTAACAAAGGTGTGCCACAGGGGTTTGTTATGTGCTCCTTTCATTATTGCCTTTTAACTACTTTCACTGATTTTTTTCATCCTTGTCCTCCATTCCCTCCCTTGTACATCGTAATTATCAACAGATTACCTGGTGCCTGTACTATGTGTGGTCTTCTGCTTGCTCTGCCTCTTCTGCATCATTGTATGTGTTTGGTGGACCCGCAAACGGAGAAAAGAGCGTGAGAGGAACACACGATTAGCCACTGACGACAACGTGAACAACCAGTGGGAGCCACTTCGGCTCGTCGTGGGACGTCAGCAGCAGCAGCAGCTGAAAGAAAGCAACAGGGAGGCCGAACAGGAGCGCAAAAAGCTCATGGGCCCCTCCTATCGGACGTGTGATGAGGGCGAGGAGGAGGAGGAGGAGACAGAAGGCGAGCTTGAGCTCGAGGAGGAGTGTGGTGGAGCAGAGGCGGGAAAGCAGCCAGTTAGTAAGTACTCTAAGACTGCAGTGCAGTCCAGTGGGGGAGTGATCTGTACCCTGCACAGCTCCAGTTCACCCCTCAAAGCACCCCACCGGACCCCAGGCTACAGCCCCAAAGACAACCGCTGGAAAAATGTCAGTGCCGCCTTGACTGGTCAAAAAGACCTCAGAGACCATTGTGTATAAGAAATTTAGACAAAGGACTTGCAATGTGGAAGCGAACGGCTCAGAGCAGCCAGTGAGACAATCCTTTTTGTGCATTCCTGTTCACATTATCTGTTTTTTAATTATTACCAGAAACAAAAAAGGAGACACAAATAAGCTCTCTGCAACATCTTTGTATGGGAATTTACATAACAGAAACCCGATGAATGCAGGTCACGAAAAGTAGAGAAAAAAAAACACCCTGTATAAAAAAATAAAAAAAAAAAAACCCCACGAATCGATTATGGATGTTTTGTTAAATGTTGCTCAGCGGGCTCCCTGTTCAGTGTCTGTGGGGGGGCAAATGATACACATTCAAAGGGAACAGAACAGGTAGGACGCTCTTTGAGAC